GGGGTGCTGCTGGGGAGGAGGGACCAACAAACATCTGTTACCCTATTGAAGAAATTATTATTTTTTTGTTAACTTTGAAGATATTTGTTTTAGCTCATAAAATTCACTAAATTCTGGTCGAATATAATTTACATTGCTGGAATTCTTATATAATTTGGTGATCTTTTTGAATATAAAACATCATATATTTCCTTCAGCTTGCAATTTTTAGATAAAAGAAATTTTTCTCTGAAGTAACTATAATCATCTTTCTTAAAATATGTAACATTTTATATTCAAATATTCCTGGTCTTACAAAGGAATCAGCAATGTCAATTATTTATCCTAACTTTTAATCTGAGGTATTATTTAATACTAAATGTTAAAAACTCTGGAAGGAGGTCTGGTGGGGGTGGGGGGAGGTTGGGACCACGCGTGGTTGGAAGAGGGGGAGGCAAGGTGGGGGTACTTTGATTGACGAATAGTGTCGTGAAGGGTGTTTTTTATTAGCTGAAGATATTTGTTTTTGCTCACAAAAATTCTATACCAAATTACCGGTCAGAATATAATTTACATTGCTGGAATTCTTATAATTTGGTGATCATTTGGAATATAAACATCCTTATATTTTGCTTTAAACTTACAATTTTTAGATAAATTTTCTCTAGGTAACTATATTTATCTTTGGTAAAATATATGACATTTATCATTTAAAATATTCCTGGTCTTACAAGGAATCCGGCAATGTCAGTGCCCTACTTTAGTTGAGGTTATCCACACATCTCCTTGGGGCGGTTGGTGGGGGTGGGGGAGGAGGACCCGACGACCATCTGTTCAACCGGCTGTGGTATGAGGGGGAGGAGTTGAGTCCATTATTTGAATGGACATTAACCTGGCGACTGTATTTCTATTTCTCTTAGAAAGTATTAATTGTGTGCATGTACCATCATAAGAATTAAAAGTCTTATTTTTACTACAACATAGGTATGTGCCTTCAAAAAGTGGAGTTTGGGGAGTCGGGCGGTTTCTGTGGAATTAATCCTGTATTTCTATTTGTTCACTTAGCAGCGGGACCCTCTGGGTTCAATTGACCCAGCGTTAAGTGAGGTCTAACTGTATTCCAAGCTATTCCTGATTCTAGGGAATCCCTAACAATATCAAATTATATTTTCCTAACTTTAGTTTGATTTACATCACATCTGTGGGACGGTTGGTGGTGGGGAGGGAAGACAGGCGGCCATCCAACCCGGCAGTGTAGGTGGCTGAGAGGAGGGAGTTGAGTCCATTATTTTGAATGGACATTAACTTCAGCGACTGTATTTTCAACTATAGTATTAATTGTGTG